AAGTTTCAAAATCTCCCCTCCCCCCACCGCATCCCAAAACCAGTCCAGCTCGTCCCTGCCTCCCTAACCTGTTCTTCCTCGCACCTATCCCCTCCTCCCACCTCAAGCCGCACCTCCATCTCCTACCGACCAACCTCATCCCGCCCCCTTGACCTGTCCGTCCTCCCTGGACTGACCTATCCCCTTCCTAACTCCCTACCTACACTCACCTTTCCTGGCCCCATCCCCGCCTCTTCGACCTGTTTGTTTCCTCTCCACCTAGCCTCTCCTCTATCCCTCTTCTATCCGCCTCCCACTCTCTCCCAATTTATTTCAAAACCCCCTTCCCCTCCCCCTTTTCTGATGAAGGGTCTAGGCCCGAAACGTCAGCCTCTCTGTTCCTATGATGCTGCTTGGCCTGCTGTGTTCATCCAGCCCTGCACCTTGTTGTCTCGGATTCTCCAGCATCTGCAGTTCCTACTATCTATGTTTGGGAATTTCAGCTTGGCAAAGTGTGACCCAAGAAAGGGAATGAGGGAGCAAACATCCTTTACAAAAGAATGCATCAAATTTAAGGGATAATTCAGAATCATTGTGATGACCCTTTTAATACAGATACATTTTTCAGATAGCTTGGCAAGTCTATACGTTTGGGACTCTGTAATTAAAACCTCCATAAGCAGGCTCCCTTTCAGGACTGATTCAATCCATCCGTATTTCACAGCATGTGTGATCTGTAGGAGTATGCATGCTCTGTAACAGACACCTTTGGTTCATTTCTCCAGTTCCCAAATTTTCCAACATTTCCTAAGTTTCCAACCTAACAGTGATTATACTTCAATGAATAATCACTGGTTGGAAACTAAGCACTTTAGGACATCCTGCAGTCTTGAAAGGTGCTATATAAGATGGGCCACATTTTCTTTCTAAAAAAAAACATTCACCACATCTACATCAACTCTGTCTTAGTTCTACATTTCTCCTCCTAATTCTGCTTTTATGAATAGCTTTATCTGTATTAGACAAAAGCAAGAGGAGAAAGATAGGAACTGAAAGCAATTGGAGGCCAGGCAAACAAAGACAAGATAAAAAAAAAATGGATACTCAAGATTTTCCTGATTATGGGAAAACCAGAGCTGAATAAATAGGGTTCATGAAGAAGTGGGTGATATTCCAACTTGGCTTCCACAATCACGCACAAGTTCGATGTTTATCTCTCAGCAGATTCCAGAATGCTGCTTCTGAACTTCTACTTACCTTTGAACTGGATGTAGCAGGCATTACAGTAGAGTCTGTTATTCCGTACTCGGACCTCTGCTCCAGATTCTGTACCCCCAAGGTCAATGCCACACGAGATGCACTGTGTACGAGAGCAAGTTCACTTATTTACATTTTCTAAGATATTTCACAACTATTGGAATTTAAATACAGGGATGAAATCAGAAAGAGACAGCATTTCTTTTCACTGGTCCACTCAGCTTATATTTATTTTTTCTTTCCCCATTTTCATGGCAGAGAACAGTAATTGGTTGTTTAATAAAAAAGATGGGTCACAGGTTCTCCCCCATTATCCAACTAGGTATCTCACTGGTGACAGAACAAAGAGTTCAGTTCCACCAAAACAATTACTTACCTCCTATTCATACAATGGTTTTATTTTGGGGAGGGTGGGTTTATAGCATTGATCCAGAATACCTGCCAAACACTCTTGAGACGACATTTTGGGCAGCAAAAAGGTAGGGAAGTAGATGTCAATAATTTAGTGGTATGGTACCTTTGACCCGATTTGGTAAAAGGTGCCAAAGAGAAAATCGCCATCTATGGCTAAAGAGTTGGTAAGTTCTCTATTTTGGGAGTAAAGTCAGCAAGATTGATTTGGGACAATTACACAAAAATAGGGATTTTTTTGTGATTAAGCTGAACAAAATTAGCAAAGACTTGTGAAAAATTAATGTATTCTAGCATTTTTAATCAAAGCACAATGGGCCCAGTAACGAAAATCTACAAATATTCAGAGGTAGGAGAGATAAACAATAACATTTGGCCAAATATAATGACATTTAATTCACTAGATCACACATACCATAAAACACTTTAAACAAAATCTTTAAATTAACTGAAGTGGTCTTTCAAAGTCATGCTGTCTCCTTCATGACTACAGTTGCATGAAATAAGGTGTATAGTTGAGTTACTCTGCACTGGGAAGTCGAGTACCAAATGTGTCAATGAAGATGAAAATATAGCGTTAGCAGGGAGTGAAATTGTGGACATTAGCAGGAAGAACCAAAAAAGAACAACTACTGGTAAATGATAAAGTGATAAGATACTGATTTGTGCAAACTAAACCAAAAATAGTGACGAGCCTTCAATTTTAGCTGAAAACCAAAAGCTGTTAATGATAGAAGTGCAAGCAGGAAGGTGTTAAGTTATGCCAATCTGAAACAGAACCAAAGTTATGATTATGAATTATTGGCACAAGTTGTCCCACGTTAGTTAGTATGGCACCAAAATGCTTCCATACTGCAGCTGCCGAAACCATGCAGAATTCAGAAGCAAATAAAACAAAGTAATATCTTTTCTTGCAAATCACCTTCCAATAATTGCAATGCAACTTAGAACATCTGCATGGTTTCATGCACCAAAATATCAATACAAAGGCGAGTGGTAGAGTTCTAAGCAAGCATGCTCGTCTTCAGCAGACTTTGTTCGTGGTTGCTTAGCCTGTCTCATAGCTGGTCCCTATCCTCACCTTAAAACAATGTAAGTGATAACAAAGACCAAGAGACTCGATGATCATGGCAGCTCCTCTGCCCAGAGGACTATCACAGTATGAACAGATCTTCTTTCCACTTATTGACCTGGATACAGAACAAAAAGGGGACTGACTATAATGAAGGCTAGACAGGCATGCGAAGTAATGATGCTAACTCTGTGGGATGCTCAAGCCATCAATTGTTTGAAACATTCTGGTCAATGTAAAGAATCAATATACAAGTCCAGCAGGAAAAGTGGAGTCCTTGTACTGGGCCTGCAGTCTGTGACTTCAATTTTGATTATCTTCCGTTGGTATTGATGGCCTCAAAATTTCATGAGACTACTGTACAGGAGAAAGTTTTACAAGACAAAACAACAAAAAAACAAGACAAAAACAAGACAAAAACAAGAAAATCTGATCGTACACAAGGAGCTCCAATAAAAACTTGAAAGTTACTTCCACACATTTTAAAAGGTAGACAGCTTAAGATGGCTCCAAAACGCTAGGCAGCTTTGGAATTTATCAGATGGACTAAAACTTCACTGATTCCTGAACATTATCTATCATTTCAGAAGTAAGTCAATATATTCACATTCTAACACTTATTATTAGTATTATTCAGGCCAAAGCTTTATTAGCCTATAAGATAAGTGATCTTTCTGCATGGTGTCTGATTTCAATTACAAAGTAGCTGTACATTTGATTTAGCACAAAATCTAGCCATGTCTTCCGTCACTGTTAATTAACACATCCTGATAATGGCTGGTTAAAAGTCATTTTTTTTTGTAAAAGAGCAACCATAATATTTCTACAGCACCAGATTTTCAACACTTTCAATTTCATCAATTGATCGATGAGTACCAGCATGGATTTGTCAAAAAGAAGCCATGCCTGAACAATATGACTACAATTTTTTGAAGAGGTGGTTAAATCCATACATGTGGACTTCCAGAAGGCACTTAATCAAGATCCTCACAAGACACTATCAGCTCGAATTGAGGTCAACTTATTGATCCAGATAGGTAACTGAAAGAGTGGGCAGAGGTAGAGAGTTTAGCTGATTGGCAAGTACGGTAATTGGCAGAACGCAACGAGTGATGCTCCACAATGATTTGTGTTCAGTTCTCACCTGTTCACTACTATTCCTTAAGAAATAGAAGGCCATAAAATCTAAGCTAACGCAAGTTAATGACAGTGCAAAGATCAGCGACATTGTACAAAGTGTACATGGAGGTGTAAAGTTAAAGAGATAATAACAGTTTAAGTGACAAATTGAATTCAATGCAACTCAATGAGATGAGCCAATTTGGACTACCAAGAATAGAGCAGGATAACTTCTTCATGGTACAAAGCTAGAGATAGCAGTGGTCCAAAGAAGCTTGCAGGTCAAGGTACAAAAACCATTACAATGCTGTGAGAAAATAGTAATAATGGCAAATGGAATGCTGGCTTTTATATCTATAGGAAAAGAGGCAGTGCCTGCAGCACTGTGAGCAGTTCTGGGCTTTTGCAAACTTTAGGAAGGGGATATTGGCCTTTGAGAGTGTGTAACACAGTTTTATTTAAACGATAGCTGAACTCCAAAAGTTGAAATGCCAGGAAAGATTACACAATTGTTCATTACATTCTCTAGGATTGAGAAGCCTAAGATCAAGACACAACGAAGAACACTTCAGAAGAAACTCTTTCCTCTGCTTGGCGATTCTATGACCAAAAGGTAGAGCCTAAAAATTAGAGCCAGACATTTTTGGAGTAAAATTAGAAGACACTTTCTCAGGCAAAGTATGGTAGAACAGTTGAATTCTCTTCTGCAACTGGCAAATTTAAAACTGAGAAAACTAGAATCTTCATTAAATGGCCTATTTAAGGGATATGGAGCAAAGGAGGATATATGGAGTTAATTCATGGGTCAGTCATGATCTCACTGAACGATGGAATAGGCTGGATGGCTAAATAGTTTAATTCTATCCCTAGCAGTGCTAATTACAGTCCATTATTTTCTATTCAACTCTTGGATTACGCTTTGAAGTATACAACATGTTAACAAGGGGACAGTGACAATGATAAATACACAGGTACATTTCATCACTTATGATTATATAAATAAGGAAAGCATTCAAGCTGTTCCATGAAAGTGTTTAAAGATGTCAAGAATCAGTGAGTTAATGTGAAAGAATTTTCCATGTAAATGCAATAAACTATTTTCAAGTGTAGAAGGGTCACTGAACTATACACAGGAAACACAGTATCAGTGCAAAACATTTTCATTCAAATGATCAAGTACCTGTTGCTTTGTGGTATCTGGGGCTGACTGGTTGGTGCAACAGAAGGATTCTTGGTCCACGATGCTGTTCTCAAAGATCCAGTGGATTGCGGTGGTAAGGTTGATGATGCAGTGCGCAAGTAAGATCGGTTAGAAGTGGAGACTGGATAATAACCAGATCCTTTTCCCGAGGAATGTGCTGGCTCTGTAGTCGATCCCCAGTTGTTTGCCTTTGGGGCATCTAAGTTGTCTAAAGATTCACCTCTGAAATAAGAGTAATCGTAATATAACTGTTCAATGTTTCTGGGTTGCATAGTGATGTGTAATCTGGCACAGAATGCTTCCATTGTCCTAAATCAGCAAACATGATCGCAAAAACCTATAACAAGTTTTAGAAAATATCAAAGGACATGGGTAATATGCAGAGAATTAAGATCTGCAAACTTTCGCCAATCCTGAGATGATCAATTAATTAGGCCTGACCCTCTCCACTTGCTCCCAAATACATTCATCTTGTCCAACTGGCAGTGGTGGTGGGGAAGAATAGTTCACATCAACACAAGGACCTTCACCCGAGGTGCCTCCATCAAATCAGTGATTAGTATTTCCTGCATCTACAACAATTAAAAATGTAGCAAAAGGTAGCTTTGCTATTTTTATCTTCTCAAGCAGAGCTTCACTTGGACTTATGTTTGTACTTTACTCCATTTCCAGCGGGAAGCCACAACCAAACACATCCTCCCCCCACCCCCCCATTCTGCAGGAACTGTTCCCTTCACAAAACCCAGGTCCACTCCTCCTTCACTCCCAATAGCTTGTCACTACCACCAATCCACCTTCCCATGCAATTGGAGAAGGTGTAACACTTGCCTCATCCGAGGTGGTCTTCTCTACATCGATGAGACCAAGTGCAGACTCACTTGACCGATTTGAGGAGCATCTGCACTCTGTACTTTATAATTAACAGCACCTTCCGATTGCAAACCATTTTAACTCCCCCTCCCACGCCCTGGGTGACATGTCAATCCTGGGCCTCCTCCAGTGTCAAAATGGCGCCACCCGCAAACTGGAGGAGCAGCCTCATATTCCGCCTCGGGAGTCTACAGCCCAATGGCCTAAACATGGAATTCACCAGTTTTAAAATCTCCCCACCCCCGGCCTCATCCCATGTTCAACCCTCCCTCTCATCCCCGTCTCCTATTTATTCTTCATCTTTCTCACCTGTCCGCCGCACCCTTTCCATAATCTATCTCCACAACCCCTGACCTGCACCCATCTACCACCATCCCACCTAACTTCCCCCAGCCCCATCCTCCTTCCTCTATTTATTTCCGAGCTCCCTTTCCCCTCCCCAGTGCTGATGAAGGTTCCCAACTCGAAACACTGACTTCCCTACTCATCTGATGCTGCCTAACTTGCTGCGTGGACTCTGATACCAGGATCTGCAGGTCTTGCTATCTCTCTCTCTCTCACACATCTGTTCTACTTGCATCCCCTGCCCCTGCTCTCCACCTTGTCAACTGCATAAAAATCATTACTTTTCAGACCCCTTCTGTTCAAAGAAGGTATATTTTACATGAAATATTAACTCTTTCTCCACAGACACTGCTGTATTTCTTCAGAACTTAGATTATTTTTAAAGATACCCACCATCCACAGTACTTTACTTTTAATGACTTGGACTTTGTTGCTTGAAACATTTTATTATTTGAAATCCTGCTTGCCCATCCCATATGTAAGAAATAGCCTGTGTTTATGCATCTAATCAAGTCATTTTCACCTGGCAGTAGGGCATGAGAACTTCATGATATTTGGAAATGTGAATGTCTTGCACTTAGATGAGGTTTGGGACGGTGATGAGAGGGCAATATCGCTCTAAAAAAAGTGATCATTGCTCGAATTTATTTCTGTCAACATGGAGTGTACGTGGGGTTAAATTACCAACCTTGGATTTGCCAATCATTAATTGCTACCATTGATTCTTGGCAGGGGCACTGTTTCACAGATCAAAGTGTTTGGTATGTTGGTTTAAGCTATTCCACCCAATTACAGACATCCTGTGGGACCATTTATACTCCATGTTCATTTGGCAGCTGCATTGCTGTGTGCAAACACTGTTTTGTTATCGAATCCTGTGAAGGACTGATGACCTAAATGCCATTATGAGGGAAAGAAAATGCTTTAAAGTTTCCTGACAGCTTCAAAAGGCACTGAGATTATTTCTAATGCTGTATTGCAAGGAAATAGCAATTAGCGCAAAACCAGCAGAGTGTGAGAGCCAGATGGCTTGATGATATTAAACAGCCATGAAAGATGCAATTATCTGTGTTTGAAGGGTGAGATTAATGTTGAAATTTAATGCAGGGGAAACGCCTTGGTTGTTCTTCTAAGGTTCTTTTACCTGCTTAATGTTCAATAAAATTATCTAATGGCCGGTAGCCTACACCACATTTCCGATATCATCTGGTAATATCATTATATCAGTACCCGATGCATTACAGCAAGAGACTTTTTGGGAAAGTCTTATGGCATTTACCTTGATCTTTTTGGTCACATATCACACTTATTCCACGTACTGACTTTTCCCATACATTAGCAAGTCAAAACCAAGTAAGAAAGTAGAAGATGATTAGACTAGTGGGCACGAACTTAATATTTTTCATTTTAAAGCAATACATTCCTGACATTTTTTCAAACAAATTGATTTTATAGCTAATGATTAGTGCTGGCTGACAGTTTGAGCCTGCAAACAGTCGCAGGCATTTGTAATCCGGGAGTTTATTTATAGTACAGTTTCTGTTCGGAGGGTCGGTGTGGACTTCTTGGGCAGAATGGCCTGCTTCCGCATTGTAGGGGATTCTATACAAGCAAAGGAACAAAGAAACACTAAATTATGCAACAAGAGGAAAGGGGTGATCAAAGGATGGACACTTCCTTTACAAGTATGAAGAGGACTTGGGCTCCAAGTCCACTTGCCTCAGAGGCATATCATTGCACATGGACTAGTTGATTGAAATTATTTACACATATGGATAGAAGAGTTATCAAATGGATAAGTTGACAAAAAAACCGTGACAATAGGGATAGCAATGAGACCTAATGTTTTATGGAAGGCTAGAGCAACACACAGTTAGGATGGTAATTCATAGACTGGGTGGCAGATTGAAGACTACATCTGTGACTTTTTTTTATGGTTATTACCTTCTCATTGATCCATAATTGCTCGGTGCAGTCTTATTGGCAACACTGGCACTACGCTGCCTAATCCAGCTATTATCATTCAGGAGCTGGGTCTTTCTTCGCATTTCCTGTAGGATTTTCTGTCGTTCTTGCTCAGCGTACGAGAGTGGTGGCTCTTTTTGTTGTGAAGATTTTGGTCGCGTTTCACTCTTAATCCACGAGTTGTCTGGGGCTTTGCTCTTCGTGTCACCTAACAACCAAACCAAAAATCTTTAAGGGTGTAAATGTTTTGCCACTGCCCTTTAATCCACCTAAATTACCAGGAAGAGCTTATCCCAGCTGATTGCTTTTAAATGAACACCATTAAGATGGGGCTCTTGCAATTGCAAGTAACACTATTGAAATGGGGTGAATTAAGCAAACTCAAGCTCGTCATATCAGTACTGAAATACATTTCCATAATTCTGCCAATGAATTGGCACAGCATTTTCTCCAACATAATTATGTCATCAGCAAATATCATCTGAATCAATGGAAAGCATTCTTTATGGACTTAATGAGCAGTGTGTCATTGCATGTTATTACAATTTTTAAATCAGCATAGCCAAAAATAACCAATTCAAGCGCCAAATTGATTTAGAATGGTCTTTTTCATTAGTAGATTGTAATCATACTTGGGAAAAATAAATTAAGATTGTTATTGTTAAGAGAGATCAGCCAACTACAATGAACAAATAGTACATTCAGCATTAAAACATTGGCCATCCAAAATTCAGCACAGATCTGCATCAGCCCATTCGGCGTATTTCATGCACGTCAAGGGAAAACACGTACAATTAGCAAGCGACTATGATGATTAACTTGAGCATTTTTAAGTTGAGCAGAGGGTCTCTCTCAAGGGGAAAAACAAATTGCTTTAAAATGGAAACAGTTGCTTAAAGTGCAGCTGAAAAGGTGCTAATTAGCTCGATCATTGGAGTGACAAAGAGAAATTAGGGTATAGGTTAGCTGCTGATCAGAGGGCGTATTCCCCACCTCTCTCTGGGTCAGCATATTTCATCTGATTAAGGATTTTCAGCCTCTCAGTTTCCAATTCAACACGTGTAGCTTCCTGTGTCTTCCCAAGTCGCCTGCGGAGATTTTCTTCCTCAAGCAGCCACTGGGCCACACCACCCACTGGTTTCACACCTACACCTAAATACACGTTCAAATATGCACACAGCAGGCCATTAGCGCTCATGCAAGGATAACGTTTTCAAAGTGTTTAAACAGAAGGTTAAAAGGCAAAAGTGAAGAAATTATCAAATTCTGTTTCAAATTTCTGCTCCCACCTATCATTGTGCACACACACGCACTTACACAGACGAGCACACACACGCACTTACACAGACGAGCACACACACACTAATTCCACTCATTTGTTTTTAGCTGCATAGTTTTGGTGCTATTGTGACATACCTTAAATCGGAAAGAAATCTCATACTGAAACAAATGAGGAATGACTTTGCTCTCCAATAATGATGTTTGCACCAGGCTAGTGTTTATTATGTGGAACATTTCAAATTTAAGTAAGTTGCATTGCATTCAATTTATTTTAAGAACGTCAAAGGGATACTGAGAAATAATTGATCCCTTGCAATTAGGAGTAAAACACATTTCGACAAGTATTTATGATTGCTACACAACTTAGTTTTATGGAATAACTGAAGCTAAAATATTCTCCATTAATTGAAGATTCAGCCACTGGCTGGTTCAAGTAGCTAGCTAAAGAAAATTCAAATCTGTTTTAACTCCCAAGTTGAAACATTCAGGACAAAGAAACTCACCATGTCCCTGGGCAGGCACAAACTCATCGAGGTCAGAGGTAGACTTGGACTTTGCCCTATAATCATAATAGCATTGCAGGCTGGTTAGTACACCAAGTGGGAGAAAATATACCATTCATTTCTTAAAATCAGATTCAGAAAGAACAGCATATCGCAACAAATCTGAATAATTCTGATTGCTAACAAAAAACTCAATGGAACGAATTTGAGAACAAATTTTCTGCCTCCTTTCTTATAAACAGTGAAGCTCCTCAGGACAATTAACATTGCACCCCTTCCTCATTAACAAACAACTACAGAAACTCACAGTTAACAAAATCTATTGGACAGCTCATGGAAATTTCAACATAGCTGTACCACAATTTGAGAGACGGGGATGGGGGAACACAGTAAGCTGATAGTTGGAGACCTGAACCCCATATTCCATGTCTTTTACTCAAACAGACACTCCAAATCTTGTCATCAGGTTGCTTTCAGCGCAGCCAACTCAGTTTCATCCACTCAATCCACATTAATACTTATCTAGCTTTTCTTCTTCCCTGCCTAATCAACAATCCCTTTTCTCTCCCCTTTCTCTGGGGCCTGGCTCCACCTCCCAGCTCACTCCTTTTCCATTCGCCACACCTTGTCACCAAGATAAATGCCACTCTTTCCTCCGCATGCTGCATAATTTCTGAAGGATGTCACAAGACACGAAATGTTAACTCTCTTTTCTCTCCACAGATGCTGCCAGACCCGCTACATTCTCTAGCAATTTCTGGCTTTGTTTCAGACTTCCAGCATCTGCAATTTGTTGTACATTATTTCATACATAGTTATTTTTACACAACTTCACTTGAATTTGAAGATATTTCTTGTTCTCTTAAATTAATAATCAATCACTAAAATGCAGGACGTAACGTATTTTAAATGGATTACAGCTGGTTGGGAATGGAGTTCCAAACATCTGGCACTGAAAGCTAACTCAGTAAAACAGTTGGTTCAAAATCTTACCACTGGGGCTGATATTCCTCTGTTCTTTCAGTTTCTGCTAACCAAACCCTTTGCTCTGCTTGTTGTCTCTGCCTCTTCTCTTCTTTAAGTCGCTCTCGCTCACGATACCATTGTTCTTGCTGTTCACGTTCTTTCTCTTGCAGTTTTCTCTCCTGCTCAAGGTGATCTGCTGCTTCTTCTTCTTGACGCCTTCTTTCTTCTTGTGACCGTAATTCTTCTCGCTGCCTTGCCTCGTCATCATCACTTCTGTGCCAATCCTCTCCTTCTCCCAGTTCCTGCGATTCGTCCTCAGATTCCTGGTTACTCCAAGACGTAATCCAGTTTCGAGAAGTATACTGGTGCTTGAACTCTACAGGCCCATCCACAGTATTTGAAGGGGATTGTGGAGTGTTTGTTTCCTGTAGTATCCTGCGCTCCTGTTAAAGTTTAAAGTTAATTAATTTAACAAGACAGAAGATACTTATATACAACTTTACTAAGATATACATAGAGTGCGAAAGGGAAATATTAAAAAAAGATTAAGCACTTACTCCCAAAGAAAGTATTTAACTCATCTTCTTTTCCCACCATAGCCTCCTCATTGTCACCATTGCCTTTCTCTATTCACCATGACCTTTTTAAGGATGCGTTGGACACCTCTGCAGTGAACAGATTCTCCAGTACCTCATTCAAGTGGCCTTTCCTCAACTGGAATAATAGCCCATTACAAGAGGCTACTTGTTTGTGAAATGTTCAGCAACATCTGAAATCCCAGCATATTCCTTCTGGTACAAATTACTGGCTAGCAATCGGAAACAAAAAGCAAGGGCTCACATCCAACCCTCCTTGAAGCCAACCCTTCTTGAATCCAACATTAGAATAGTGAAGCCAAATGCAGTTCTCCCGACAGTTCCTCTGGGGCAATTCATATTGGTAATGTGGATTAAACCAGGAATCTTATGTATTTACAGGTAGTAATTAATTAACTCACTTTTTGTTAATACAAGAAAGCCATACTGAGTTTCAAGCACGACTCAGACTTCAGAACCAGTTAAAGTCAAACGAGTATGAAGATACCGACGTGAGAATTTGATTATTAGGAATAATGCACAACCACCGCATACATTTAAAAAAAACACAGACACTAAATTACCGACTATTATCCAGCTATGTCTGCAAACACTGCACCGTCATTGACCCAACTGGGGCTGGCCACAGTAGAATGTGGTGCAGCAAAACATGTTGAGAATTTTGCTGAAAAGACAAATTGAACTGCAGACAACAGCTTAGAAGGGAAATTCCTTTCTGCATGCACTTTGAAAGTTGAACACATTTTCAACACACGTATAATGAAATGGCAGTTGCATGACTTGGGGAGGATAACTTACTCATGCATGAATTTCTGATAAACGAGCAGCATCCATGCATGTTTTGTATTTCGTGCCATTTTGCCCGAAGGAATACAAGCAACATTCCATTTATAGAATGCAGTCAAAAGAATGAACATTTAAAATCATGGAGGTCCTAAATGACAGGGAGAAAAAAAATGGCCTTTCGTTAGCCTTTGGAAAATAAATGATTGAAGAAAACGCTCCCCATTCTGTTCCCTGAGCAAGTCAAAGAAAATATCCAAGTGTTATCAGGTTAAAAAGTAGTCTTGCCTAACAGTTCAGTTTTAGGAAAAGAAATAGCATTTGTAAGAGAAAGAATGATACCGATTAAAAAAATGCTTGCAACTGAAGTTAAAAATATGTTTTGCTCAAAAACATCATTACCAATTGTTAGTGATACGAACATGTAATTATAACATCATAAAGGGAAATACTAATATTTCAGTTTTGATCTATTATAGGAACATTTATTTGGTCTATTTTGACATGAAACTGCAAAATCCCAGAATATATCATCCAGGTCAATATTTTAACACTACAGGAAAGTTGTGTCCTTTTGGTCCCCCATAACTAAAAATAAATAAAACTCATTACTGTTTCAGAGAGTGGTAGCCTGCTCCCTCCCCATCTATATTCATCACCCTGCCATCCATTTAGTTATTGCTGTAAATGTATTTACCTCTTCGTAGTACTTGGAACCTTCTTGTTCAGCTTCTTTCTGAGCCTTTCTCCACTCTTCCTGTAGTTTCTCCTGCTCCCGCTGGTATTTTTCCTAACAGTTCCAAATGATCAGAACCATCAAGTAAATGAAAGCATTTGCACATTGAAGCAAAGAAAAGCTTGTGTTGCCTCACCAGTGCTGCTAGAATGAATTACCAATGCCAAAACTAGAATTAAACTAAAACTGCCATGCAATCTTCAGAATGCTGGTTTTGATTGGTCGGATCAGAAATATGATATTTAAAATTAAGAGTCTGGAGTTGCCAAAATTCACAGTTATTTAAACCATGAAGCCTGCACATTACCAAATTTAACAAATTGGCAGCTTTTGTATGACTTACACTAAAAAAAATGAAATCCACGATTTAAAATACTAGAATTTCAAACTATACCACAGGTATTAACATTGTAAAAGTGATTCAGATTCAATGAACTTTGTAACTTTTTTTCATGTAAAAGGTCAGTGGTGCCCACCGCAATGAGTTCTGTCATTTCAGATGAATACATTTGCCTCAAGTCTAGGTTTGGCAAGGGTTCTAAGAACTACCACCAAACAATAACAATAAAATACTCAAGCCATCACCGCTCTACTTCATGCATATCCCCTTTTTATAACCAGTGCTCTATGATAATATGCTAGCATTACGGTTACAGTGTGAGGAAAGAGCAGTGTTATGTTCTCCTTAGAGGGCAAAGATGGGAAATTGGTTTAGACAATACAGATTAATTCTGGAACAATACGAAATGCAGTGCATGCCCACTGGTCACCAAGACAGTTTTTAATTTAAAAAAAAACAGGATTATAAAACAAATATTCTGATAGCCAAATAAATTGAACTTTTCAGTGATCATAATCAATGTGCACATATCTAAAAACTTATAAGTCATGCACAACTGAGCAATATATTAATTTGACAGTGTTGGCAGGTTTCACTGAAAAGCTACTGTGAATGGGAAATTCTTGATTTGAATTTGCAAGAATTTGGAATTTGAATTTGCTTTATATTTGCGGGACTAAACAAACCTCAAATGTTCCAGTCCCAAACAATACAATATTCTCAGACAACTGACAATACAAGGTAATGCATTAGATTCAGCTATTCTGTCCGTCACTCAACTGAGGCTGGGGACAGAAATTTGGACAAACTTGATCAAGGAATTAAATCTTGAAATTGTGGTACCCTTAGCCTCATGTGCATGGACACAGGCATCCCAAATCTTCCCTACACAGATCAGCCACTTCATCATGGAAAGATGATATTGCACAAGAGAAAGTCCTCACTGGAAACGGTCTGACTGAAGACCACACACATGCACTCTGTGAACTGGTCTCAAAAGACATTTGTATAAGTTTATGAACAAGTGGATTGCTCTGGCAGCTGGGGATACTTGACACTCAAGGTAAGTAGAGAATTAGAAATTTAAGATGCACATTCTCCACAGGTAGAAATAGGATTAGAAAATTAAGAAACTTCAAAAAAATTCTAAGTTGGATTTTTGGAAAGGTCTTGATTGCCCAATGGCTTGCATCCTGCTTTAATTCATGCTTTGCACAAATATGTTAAGCAGCTGTATAATGGAATGGACACATTAGCCTGGTGTTACACGGTTCTACGTTAAAAAGGACTAAAATCCATGCAAAGCATTTATTAGTAAATCTGCAAGACCACCTCAGCACCATGCGGCTAGCAGTATAGCCACACTGTACCTGTAACAATCGGTCCTGCTCTTTCTGCCATATTTCCTGGCGCTTTCTCTCCTCCTCAGGATTCCAAGACCATCGACTTGAAACACTAATTGATGGAATTTGTAGCTAACATACCACAGCAAGAAGAAAGCATGTAACACTTTGACTTTTATTTATTAATAACAACACACAGTGATTATAATTTTCTTCAATGTCAAGTGTTTTTGTAAGCAGTCGACTGAATTCTGAAATGATCGTTAATTATGATCTTGTTTTGTCTCTAATTCTGGGATTTATGCAAAAGGCAAAATTGCCTCCCTTCAGTGAACCAAAAAATGCACAATCAGAAACAGTAATTTTACAGCAGCTGAGTGATATTTCAAAACCAAAATCCAGGGGAAGAATTTGTACTTTACTTACATCACTCATTGCAGATTCAGATCCGCCTGTAGAAGAACAAAGAGAACTTTTTAAGATAATGTACAGCACCAAAATTACTGCTGTTCATCTGGACAGCACAGTGGTTGTGGCTGCTTCACAACGATATGAGTTCTTTCAAAACAGCATCAGTACAAGTCACTACAGACTTTTTTTAAACTGAACTTTGCACCAACACAATGTAATGTTACAACACACTGAAAGACTTCTCAAAGACATTTAGCAGCTGCAAGAACAAAGACATTGATTGGTATGTGAAATCCAACATTTGTGAATGAATGCTGGATCTCCTCCCTTATTTGCTCCACTAATTAGAGTAATCGAGGAGAAGTTTAACCTCCACCCTGTGGGGTACACCCCCAGGACACTGGAATGCTGTTAATATCACGTAAAATGTTACTAGTTGAATTCAATGAAGAGTAAGCTTGGCTGATGTTAAGATTACATTACTGATTAACAGGAGAAGAAAAAATTGACCCACTGCCCTGGAATTCATAATTGGTATCACTGGAAATTGACAATAAATTGTTCAAGTAACCAAGGTGAAGGGTAAATGCATCCTAGAAATTGCCCCAATTTTGAATTACCCCTATAACCAAGACATTTGTGTTCTGATAAGACGCAAGGGTTGGGGTGACATGTTGCAGCTGTACAGGACATTGGTGAGGCCACTTTTAGAATACTGCACGCAATTTTGGTACCCTTGCTATAGGAAAGATGTTGTGAAACTTGAAAGGGTTCAGAAAAGATTGACAAGGATGTTGCCAGGTTTGGAGGGTTTGAGGTCTGGAAGAGGCTGAATTGGCTGGGGTTATTTTCCCTGGAGAGGAGGCCTTACACAAGTTTATGAAATCATGGGGAGCATGGACAGGGCGAATATCCAAGGTCTTTTTCCCCCAGAGTAGAGGAGTCCAAAACTAAAGGGCATAGGTTTAAAGTGAGAGGGGAAAGATTTAAAAGGGGACCTGAGGGGCAACATTTTCACACAGAGGGTGGTGCATGTATGGAATGAGCTGCCAGAGGAAGTGGAGGAGGCTGGTACAATTACAACATCTAAAAGGCATCTGGATGTGTCCATGAATTGGACGGGTTACGGCCCAAATGCTGGCAAATGGGACTAGACCAGTAAAGGATATGTGGTCAGCAAGTACAAGTTGAACCGAAGGGCCTGTTTCCGTGCTGTATTACTCCATGACTATGACTATGACTTTAAACTAGTGGTTGCAACTTATAGGAGCTTGCCAAGAAAACAAGATTTGCTGTTTAAAACAGCTAAATCAGTATGTGTAAAATTTTGATGAACTGCCTTGAACTTCACTCATATTTTTGCTTCTGTAAGTCATTCTCTGTCTACAAATCTCAGAGGATAAAAATTCAGCCTGCACAAGTTCATCAATGGGTAGGAGTCTGAGATGATCAAAAGTGTAATTCTAACCCTATATTCCCTTGCACAGCACTCCAGTTAATTGTTAAGCTTGAGATAAACACAGCCACAGCAATGAGTAACAGGTGCAAATTTCAGTCAAGACTTGAGCCGCTACAGAAATTTTGTCACGTTGCTTAAAATGAAGATATTGGGATAAAGCCCAAACTGTAATAGTACAAAAACATCTGAATGTCTATTAAAGCCACTGAAAGACGACAACCTCTGAATTTTGTGCTATTTCATATTAATCATTTTCAGTACTCACATTAATGCATTTTTTTGTCAAACACATTTTTGTTTGGTGCCATAGGTTTCCAATGCTTATGGCACCAAAAATACACAAATGAAATACTGTTGCAAGGAAAAGGGAAAGAAGGTGCAAAGGGCCAAATCATTTCAAAGTTGCAGGAAGACACCAAGCAAGGACAAAATGTTAAAAAAAAGACCTGTACCATCATTTGCAGGTTGTGGTAAATGTACACTTTTGCAAACCTGGTCTGCAGAATATATTTTTCTCAAACAAAATCCATTTAGCAAATGCAACAGTTTAAATTTCAAATTGTCTAACCAATCAGTTTGAATTCGAACACAGATTTGCAAAGTAAAGTGGTGCATTAAAATGGCGGTACAGCCTTCAAATTGTGCGTTGTTTCACCCTGTGCATGTTCGCATCAAGCATTTACACACAATGAAATTAAAAAAACAAATATTAGTTTGCCAAATATCCAACAATGGTTAGAAATTGGAAACTTCTTATTTGCACTTTCAAAATGAGAACATCTGTCAAATATGATGCATAACCTTTACCACAAAGATAGACCAACGAATTGCAAGAGAACTTTGATGAGCCTAAAGAAAGAGAAGCATTTATAAAATCATAAGCCTTATGAAGCAGATAAACAGGCAGAAGTGTGAGGATTTGCCCAAGTACTGAAACAGAGCTGACATAATTGGAAGCCTAGTTGATAACACCACAATACATATAGGCATTAATTATTGTTTTACCTTGTTCAAAAAATTGGGACCGCCTTTTAAAGTTTCTCAGGCTAAGGGGCTCAAACGCTAAAGCAAAAATACAAAATGTATTAACTACAAAATTTATTTCAGCCATTAAGCAAAGTTACATGTACCCATGAGGGTAAACTTTAATAAATTACAGCAATGAATATTCTTGAAGAACACAAAATTTAAAACCACAGAATAACTTCAATCTAACATGGAATTCACTTTCAGTTTTTCTTTCTTTCCTTAATAGCCTTAAATCATATTGATGACCAGAACTTGTAGTGAATTCTATAAGCATCTATTGCTGTCACGAAAGTAACATAAATGGATAAAATTAGAACCTTACTTTCTCTGTTCCAGGATTTTATTACTCCCCAAGCATGAGAAAATAAAGTAAAATTTCCAACCCTCACCAACTTCAGAAAAAAAACATTTGAGCTGTTGATATGTACCAAACATTCATGTTCAAGCTGTGAAAGAGGAACAGTCAACTGAAGTCATGTAGCATTAATATTTGAATAGCGTTGTCTTAAAGTGGGGACATAAATGGTGCCAATTTAGCCATTACTACAGAAAAGGTGAACTGCGCTAGCCATTAATAGAACTTCTCCATTTTTTTTTTAAATTCCTGGCTTGCAGTCAGCATGTCTCCATGACGATGCCTCAATCTGGCTGGAAACTCAAAAACTGCTTGCCCAGTTCCCAAACACAATAGATTACTCACAGAACTCATGAAATATTTGAACAGTACAAACGTTTAAACTGCAAAACCCGTTCCTTTGTCACAGAGCTAATTATTGTCTACCAGTAATGATAGTGAGTGATCCTCATCAACATAACCTGAAACCTATCACTTTAATGCATGTTCTTCAGTACTGGATTGTTTTAAAGATTAAAACCCCCTAGTGCAGATTTAACTTATTTAATTTAGATTATTATAAAACTAAACTTGTGTGACAAAGTAACATTTGCACCACAAAAGTGCCAGGCAATGACCATCTCATAGAATCTCTACAATATGGAATTAGGCCATTCAGCTCATCAAGTCCACATTGACCCTCCGAAGAGTAGCTCACCCTGTGTCTGTAATCCTGCTTTTCTCCCCCCAGGCTAATCCACCTTGTGCTAACCACTAAGCCACCGTACCACCCATCTCTTACGCCTAACTCTTCCTCCTTTCTCAGATGAGATCCATCAAGGAAGAATCTAACCATCTTCTCATGATGTTCAGTGACACTACCATCAATGAATCACCCACTATCAACATTTATGGGTTACAATCAACCAGAAACTGAACTGGATGAGCCATTTAATTATCAAGGATATAATTGCAGATCAGAGACTAGGAATTCTGCAGCTTATAAATTACATCTCGATTCCCCAAACCTGCCCATCATCTACAAGGCGCAGGTCAGGTGTGCGATGGAACACTATCAATTTGCCTGGAAGGATGCACATATTTCCAGCAACATTGGAAGCTCAACACCATCCGAGATAATATAACCCACCAGATAGGGTGCCAATCTACTACCTTTAACATTCACTCACTCCACCAATGATCCACAGTCGCTGCACTGTGACAAGAATCACTGCAATAACTCATCATGGCTCTTTAAACAGCAGCATCCAAACCTGCAAATTCTACCATCTAGAAGGACAAAGACAGCAAATACATGGGAATTCTACCACTTTTCTAAGATTTCCCTCAAATCACTCACTATCCTGACTTCGAACTATGGTGTTATCCCTCCACTGTTACCTGGTCAAAATCCTGGCACTCCTTTCCAACGTGCAATGCAGGGCTCCCTACATCATATTGACTGCTGAATCTCAAGGAGGTGCCTCACCCCCAAATTAAGGGCAATTCGCGATCTGCAATAAATGCTGGCTTTGCCAGCCAAGACTGCATCCCATGTACTAATGAATTTAAAAAAAAGTTTGATGAGAAGCTGTTACAGGTGGGTGGGACCAGGGAAGCCCTTTAATGTCAAATTCAGAGTGAAATTGACACACAATTTGTACCAAGTCCCTGTACAGATGTGTGTCAAATAAATTTTGAAACTGAAGTTTGGTTTAATAAAGAATATGGAGTAAAGCATTAGCAGTTACTACTTTCAACTTAACCATTTCCAGTACCATCTGCTTACAGTAAATCATAACATTTTAGTGTGGAAAGAGATCAAAGATAATATGAACAGTTTATACCATACAGAAATTAATCTAGGAGTGACCTCAAAATTACACGATGACAGGAGCACAAGCTGCTTGCACATTCCCTTGATATCACACCAGTGATGTGTTTGATTTTTTTTTGAAAGAATTGTTTTGACTACATTTTGTCATTCAATGGCAGAATGCCTTTTGAAGATAGCTTCAAGTGCCTTTACTCAATACACCCACACAACTGTATTATTCCCAGCTGAGATTTTCAGTACATCTCTTTGGACCACACAAGTAGAATTTTAGCCCCAAAAGGGGGACTGAAAGCTCAATATTTCTATCAGTGGAAAAATATTAAGGTAGAGGCCAGTTTTTGAATCATTTCCTGAGAATATATAATGGTTCTGCAGTTGCACATAAAAACATTAGGTGATAACACTTGAGAGAGTTCTCTAAAGATGGATTATACATTAAAAAAAAATTCTAACTGTATTTAAGGGTTATACACATTGACATTCAGATGCAACATCAAGCGAAATCAATGCAATAAGCTTAAATTTAAAGTAAAAGGAAATTGCAATTTATTTTAAAATTGTCTAAGTGGAGTCCAGATAATTAAATAGTTGTACTACAAAATTTTATACACAACTGGGAAATGGTGCTTTGGTTACAAAATGCAGAGATTTTGGAATCTACCTATAGAATCCAAAAAAATGTTGCAACAATTTGAGAGTGGCTCCAGAATCATCATATATATTGTGCTAAGTGTTTAGAACTCATTTTAAAAAAGAGTTATTCACACAGAACTTTTTTTAAACTCTATTCCACTTTCCTGGTCCATCTCTGTATCCCTCAATTTTGAAAGGGAGAAAAAGATTTATTAATCTCTGTCTTGAACATGTACAATGACCGAACATTTACAGTCCTCTGGGACAGAGGATTTGAAAACTTTGCAACATTCCATGAAAATAATCGACTCCTTATCCTGCGAACGAAACCGTAAACAAAGAACTGTCTACTAGTCTTCAATTGCAAGGCTTGCCGCAACTATTATGTTAATAGCTAAATGATTCCTCATAAATGCTGTCAAACACATCTGAACCAATGCAAAGAACACAGCTGGTTTGAATGTTAATGCACCTCACGTTCAAGCAATTCTTGCTCCTACGTATTAGTGGAATAAATTTGGTATTTCCCTGAATACGTGACTCCCTCATACGTGGCCCAGAGACACGGCACTGAATTTTAATTCCAAAGTCCTATTCCAAACACAGGATGGAATTCTGGATTGGGAACCCAAAGATGGCTGTGGAAGGACCCTGGAGAAGATTTCTAAGATTTGCAACCAGTTTAAGAGTTTGCATCGTGGAAGGCCTATCCAATGAAAGATGGCAGACTGGCTCAGCATCTGGAACAGCCAGTGGAACCATACAGGGTTCTGATGAGTGGCTGGCAGCTCCATGGAGCTTGTGGGTGCTGTTGTTGTACATGTTGGACCATGAAGGCACTTCAAGGTGGACATGCCTCTTGAAGACGTGAATAAATCAAATTACAACAGGGTTGTCATTGCAGTGGGGAGGCCCCTCTACAGAGTGGTCTTCTACCACAGCTATGGTCCTTGCTGCCCTGTTGAGTGGGTCTACAGGATGTGAAGGCATCCAGACCTATTCGTCAAACCAACAGCTGACCGGCCTGTTAGGAAGCCTTCATCATTTCATCCACTAGCTCCAGCCCCATCTGGAAAATGCAAATGCTGTTTGAAGGCGGTGAAGAACTAGCAGTCTAACTGCTCAACTGGCTACTGTGACTGACAGGTAGGAATACGTCACCCTCAGAAGATAGCCCCATCAATATAGACTCAAGGAAAGAACGGACCAGCAAGCCGGCATGCTGGCCTTTGAAGCCAAACTGCTAGCAATCCAGCCTCCAATCCCACCTTCTGCTGGGGAATAAGAACTCAGCAAACAGAAATACTGTGACCTCCAGTGCAAAGTTTGTCCTTTAGGGGCCCATTATAAAAACTATCCCAATGGAAAAGAACCAAGTCTATTCTATTTTGTTTAAAATACTTTACCTTTTGACTTTTCATCCTCCAGCAAATTTTCCTGGTCCCTTTTTGATTTATCAACCTGTTTATTAACACAAAAATATTCCATCTCAATTAATTTCCTGAAATATTAATCATAAAGGGTCAAAAACAAAACAAGCACTTATAGGGGTTCAAAAAGCTAATGCTAACATTGCATACGATGAGCAGAGGGCTTTCAATGCTAAGCACGCAGCTAGGAAATTGCGCATAATAGTGGCAACGTGAACAACATGCAAGGTTCTTCAAGAATAAATTTTCATAAGATCACGCCTATTTCTTCCAATAGTTAGGTTAATATTACCAGGAGTAGCCAAGACAAGGTTATCTAATTTCATCTTAAAAGTTAAATAGATCATTGGTTTTGCACATGGCATTCCATACTGCATGTGTCCAACTTGGAAAATAAATAAAAAGGTTGATATAGCAAAAACTATTCCTGCACAGAAATTCCCAGTGTCAATATGTCATCATTACTGTTCTTCATCCGAGCCACCAATTTTTGTATTTGCTCAAAAATAAAATGTATGGTACGCCAAGGACAAAATAGTCATTTGCTTGCTGCATCTACTTAGGAAGGTTTCCTTCCCAACATGCTTTTGGTCGTACGTAATTTTGCATTCCCCTTCATTCCCTGGTCCCACTGAGCAACTTTGACAAGAGGACTTGCAGCCAGGCTATACACGAAGTGCCTTTCTATTTAATTATGCTCACTTTACTCAAAAACTCTTGTCATGAAGGTATTTAACAGTTGCAACAGTACTCTTGAGCTAGATGGGATGAAATACAATATATTTGGATGCTTAAAACAATTACATTGTAAAAATCTATTTGCTACAATAACTAGTTAGTCAAGCTTAGTAACCACTGCAACTGCCTTTAACTGTGAAAAAACCATTTGTAGAACAACGTATGAAATCCTACCTCCATTGATCGATTCAAGGATTGGCTCTTGTTGGTCATTGTGACCAGTCCAGCATCGTCCCATCTAGTAGGGTCATTGAAGTTAGCATGTTCTGTCTCACTTATACCTAGAATATTATGTGTTTTTGGGAGTCAGACTGGTCAGAATGATTGTCTTATCATCTTTTTTAATAAAACTAAGTCAGAGTCTCTATAACATGGCCATGTAGGACAAGTCACAAATAGAAAACTATTGAAACACAGTCAGAACACAAAAATGGAAACAAAACAAGAGGCAAGTTTGATAAGAACTCAAGCATTAGGATCAGGAGTGGGAATTTCAGTCCATCGAACCTGCTTTGCCATTTGACACAATCATGGCTGATATTATCTCAGCCTTAACTCCAATTTCCTGCTTGCTTTCCATAACCCTTCAACACATCACTAATTAAAAATCTGTATCTCCTTCTTACAGGTTCCTGCATCCACCGCACTCTGTGGTAGTAAATTCCTTTGAGTGAAGTAATTTCTCATGTGTTCCAAATCTGCTACCCCTTATCCTAAACTATGACCTCTCATTCTAGGTTGCCCCTCAAGAAAACAACTTTTCTACATCTATTTTGTCAATCCACTTAGCATATTATTTGCATCAATTAGACCTCCTGTCATCCTTTCTGGAGTTTAGAAGAACAAGTTTAAACTGCTCAATCTCTCTTCATAAGGAAGACCTTTGTCTCTGGAAGCAATCTCATGAATCTCCTCTGAACTGCCTTGAATACAACTACATCTGTCCTCAAGCAAGGGGACTACAATACTCTAGGTGAGGTACACTAATGCCTTGTACAGTTGCAGCAACTCTTCCTTCCTTTCATACTCTATTCCTTGAGCAACAAATGCCAAATTTCTATTAGCCGTGTTATTACCTGCTGTTCCTGCATGCTAGTTTTCTGTGACTCATGCATGAAGACGACCAGACCCCTCTGCACTAAAGCACCTGAAGTTTCTCAACATTTACTGGTATTTTGCTTTTCCATTTTTCTGGCCAAAATAGAGAACCTCTCTCATATCTATGTTAAACTTCATCTACCAAATCCATACCCATTTGTAAATTTATTTCTTCACTGCAACTAACTTTCCCACTATTTTAGTGGCATCTGCAAATTTAGCTACAGTACTTTCTATGCCTGTAACCAAGTCATTAATATAGATTACAAAGAGTTACGGACCCAAGGACCAACCCCTGAGGTACCCCACTAGTCATGTCTTGCTGACCAGTTAAAGGTTCATTTATCCTGATTCACTGCTTTGTATTGGTTAGTCAAATCTCTATCCAAGCAAATTAATTACACCTAACCCCATGTCATCTTCCCTTGTGTATTAACCTTTTGAGCAGCGTCTTGTTCAATGCTTTCTAGAAGTCCAGATATACGACATCTACAGAACCCCCATTATCCACACTACTGTTGCATCTTCAAAGAACACTAGCAAATTAGTCAAACATGATTTACTCCTCACCGAATGAGAGATTTTATTTTTAACTTCCAAGTGTCCTGTTTGTACTACTTTAATAATGAATTATAGATTCTATCAATTTCCCAACAACGTATTAACCTAACACGTCCATAGCTTCTTACTTTCCACCTCCCTCCTTCTTGAATAAGATTGTACATTAGCATTTTTCTAATCACTGGAATCTTTCAAACATCCAGGGAATTTTGTAATATTATAACCAATGGATCCACTGTTGCTGCTGTCACTTCTTTTAAGACACTAGAGTGTAGGGCATCAAGCCCTGCAGACTTAAGCTACCTTCCAACACAATAGTTTATTAAGTACTTTTCCCCAGTGATGACTTTTGTTCTAGATCCCTCCATTTCTAAAACCTCTGTATTACCAGTCACTATTGGGATGGTACAAGTGTCCTCCTCTATAAAATGGAATCAAAATTTTGGTTTCCTATTATTAACTCTCCAGTCTCATCCTCCAAGGGATCAACATTCACCTTAGCTACTGAATTCCCTTTTATGTACTTACATAAGCTTTTGCTATCTGTTTTTATATTTTGCACTAGTTTTCATTCTTAATTTACCTTTGCTTTTTTTAAATGACATGTGTCCCCAGGAGTTTAAAAATAAGGGTTGCGTGCCGGTTGGAGGCTCTGCGAAAACACCAGAACTCTGTTCATACTCATGCAACTACCTTGGGTACAAGTTCAGTTCAAAATCCTTAACAGACTTAAACATTAAATAGGGGACAAGCGACTGGGAAGTGGAATGGTTTTCCTCAACTGTCAGGATCTCATCTGTCACCGTGGAAACTCCATTCACTTGGAAACAATACAATTGTTGTAAATTATAAGAAAGTAAATGGAAAAGATGAGAGAGAGGGGAACACAAAGAGAACAGGTTACACAAAACAGAAGCTGAAAGGAAAGATACTGTACAAACAGTTATATACAGCCATATTTCATCAGATGTTTCAAAACTTTCTGCAAATAATTACCTTTGATGGGAAGCCATTATAAAAGATATTAAAAAAAACATAAAGCAGTCCCTACTGTAATGCTCATTACAACAATCAAGTAAAAATGTAAGCAGAGTGCTGCATGAAAATCCAATTTATTTTTCACTACAAAAAGCTCAAGACCACACTTAGGGACACTACCATTGACCATGTGTCACCTGCTTGCCTACAAATGATTAAAAGTAAGTTTTGTTTTAATTTTAAAAAGTACTTACAGCTTCTTTACCCCAGGGAGTGATTGGAATGTAGGTGTTTCTACCACAAGGAGCAGCTAAAACATTTATATGGGAGCTAGGTAAGTACATAAGGGAGAAAGATATAGATTTTTGCACTAAGAAGATTAGATGAATTAGGGAGGGATCATTCATGAATCCCAGAATAAACCAATTGGACTAAGTCAACAGCTTCTGCACAGAAAATACCTTATATTTAAACTCACAAATATTTACATATTGGATGTAACAAGGTGTAG